ATACAAACGGGTACGCTGAAGGCCTTAATGTGTTTGTATTTGTTAGAGAAAACCGTTGAGGTGTTTCTTTTGAAACATTTTCTCTGCTGCGATTGGGTTGGTCATGGTGCAAAACTTGTTGAAGTTTTCGTTTTGAGAGTTAAGCTAAATTTATACCGTCAGAATGTCCTTATACTGTTGATCTCTTGAACACTATTTTCAAGTATTCTGCTAAATGGCCAGTAGTGTGTAGAAGACAAATGACTAATTATAAAATATATTGTTTCATCCTTTGCTTTGATAAAATGTATAATAATTGTAGATGAATCTGTCTTATTTATCAATTTTTGTAATTTGGTCAATTACCTGCATTGATAATAGTAATTTATTGAGACAAAATATGTTTACGACTTATAATTACACGTAAAGATTTTTGTCCATTTAATGTTTTGATCGTCATATATTTTGTTGATGTGTAAAAAAACGATTAGACCAAAACAATGATATCTTCATTAACTATAAGTGGCGGCCGAGTGGTTACAGTGTTTGACTAGTAATCTTATAATCACAAGCCGCATGGGTTCAAACCCTGTCAGGGGCAAGTGGTTGTTTCCTTGATCAAGAAACAATTTTACACTCATTGCTCACTAATGGTTGGTTCCAGGAACGGATTTCAAAGCTTATGTCTGTATTATAAGCTTAAAGCTTTCTGTAAATCGAACTAATATAAATTCTGTATAAACCAATTTTGAGGGCTTGCTTTTCTGTGGCACATTGCTTATGGTCAACTTTGAGGAACGATAGCTGTCTGTCTGTCTGCGTCAACAACTGGTATTGCGCAAGTACTAGGAGTGTACTAACCAGGAGCGGCCAACTTGTGCAATTTTAGTATCAGCAATTTAATATATTCATAAAAAGTACATATATTACAGGTTATATATCATGTAAAACCCCTTTAACATAAAATATATGTGGTATTTTGTTTTTCACTGTTTATATAAGGAAGCTTAATCTCTTAAAGTGACATCATGACCATCCACAAGTAAATAGAAGTGTTCAGGTAAAATTGAAATAACTTTACATTTTGTCACATGTGTTTTCACATTTAAAATAAAAGACACTGAGTAATCAATAACATCCGTGACCCGCATGAATATCTATAAATACCCGTAATGTTCATTCTATAAAGAAAGTGTAGCAATTTATATCGATGCCTTGGTGCGAAAGGGTTGTAACTCAATATTTTGAAATTATTCAGGAGACAAAAAACTTATTTATTCTTTTACATTCTAATAAATTCTTCTTTAATTTTGCTTTTTGGCTTTAATTCAATTACTGATATATAATGTATTGGAAAGGTTATTTTATTTTGTCAGCATAAAGAGATAATTGATAAAGTTTCAGTTAAAACCCTTTCGCACCAAAAAAATCAAAAATTTCAAAAAAATGATTTGGTGCGAAAAGGTTGTAACTAAATTTTTGCTTTAAATTCTGATAAATGTAATGGGTCAAATGGACAGATCCAAGCTTAGTTGTGTTAAGTATGAACTAATTTAACATATTGCCTGGATATTTCAGTGAAAACCCTTCAAATTATATGTTTTTAAAATATAATTTCAGTCAAATGATTTTTTTTATAGAAATTCACTTTATATATAATATTTTTTCTATGTGACACACAGTTCAGATTGTCAAACCCATCATAAGTACCAAATATGCATTAACATGTATGTTTTTGCAAGAATCAAAGGTAAATTTTTCGCAATTCAAAATGTGAACTTACATAATGACAAAACCATCTATGACACATTTATTTTTGTTAATATAAGCCTTTTGAAAATGAGAATCTTTACTCTTATTTTATTTTCCATCTATTCTATACATAGGCTTTTCTTAATTTGAAAACTTAGATAATTCCTAGGATGTGCTTTTGTGTACAAATTCTATATATTTAAGCATTATCCAGGTCCTGGATCTTCTTTACTATTAAGCCAAAAGTATGATATTATATAGATGTTCGAAGCTTCTAAGCTCATGCTATTCTTACAACTCTTTACAGTCCCAAATTTCATTGTTTATAATTATATAAATCAGTGAGTAATTAAATGAGAAAAAAATAAGGACTGCAAATAATAACAATTACAAAATGCAATCCCCCACCCCAATAAAATTCACAGGTGTGCACACAAACGCACATACAGCTGAGGAAGTGATTAATATCTTAACGAATCATTTTAAATAGCAGATAGAATATATCTGATAATTTACTTTTATCTAACAGAAAACAAAGGGTCAATAACATATTTTACTTGATATTTTAACATGACCCACATTTTTCATAGAAGAACCTATGCAATAAAATCACTGTTTGACATTCTATATTAAGACATGTGACGTAGTCATTATACACGCAAAGTAACCACTAAAAATGTGATGTGCTGAAAATGAGTATGAAAACAAATCAGGCACAATTTAGATAAATATAAGGTACGGCAGCATTAAAATGTTATTTGTTGATGTCGTGTTAGAATCAAAATAATATATATGCAAATCACTTGGAATCACTTGATAAAATCACTGTTTGTTGAATGTGCATCATTTTATCACTCGGGCTACGCCCTCGTAATTCCACACATCCGACTCCAAACAGTGATTTTATTGAGCGATAAAATCACAGTTTGTGATATATTATTTCTTAAATAATAGACCTATGTAACTTGTATAAGGCTAGACCTACAAGTAGCCTGCTTATCTGTGTAATTCAACCATACATCATACTGTTGGCTTGCAGTTTAATGGAAAGTCTTTAAGTCTTTTTCTTTTGTCTAATCAGCAGATATTTGTGATACAATATTTATACGATTTGTCTTTGGACAAGACATGAAAATATTACAATAGTAATGCATGTAAGTGATAAAAGTAATTCATGTAAGTTTAAAACCAAATCAAGAATTGAGTAATAATTGTATAATTTCTTTAAGTTATTTTAACTTTTAGTAATAAAAAAAGCATCGAAACACAAGGCTGTCGGATTTGTATGAGAGTATAAATCAGATTGCCGATTGTTTTGATGTTCTTTCTCTTTTGTATCTTAGGCAAAAATGAAAACAAATTCCAAGTCATCCAAGAAAAATGCACTAAATGTTTAAGCATCTGAATATGACTTTTCTATATTTATATAAGCCGGTGCTAGGGGGCGTGGACGGTAACTTGCACTTTCCAGTACCGTCCATGAACAGGCTCAATCAAACCGAGCCTGCAACATTTTCAATTTTGTTGTGTTGGACTTTCTTTAGGGATTCTGTTTTTTTCTCTATTTTCTACTGTCATCTCCTTCCCTGTCGTCACAATATGTAAAAACTAGAAAAAATGAACCAGAGTTAACAAGCAAGCTCCAGACAGACAGTGAGTTAAAGCACTGTGCATGTATTGGTATGCAATTTAACTTTGACATGTTTTCAAAAGTCTCCAAAATATGATACAATCATAAAATATTGTATGACAATTGTTTATAATAAATTTATTTTGAGTTACAGTAATTTCGTTTTTGTAAAACCAAAATAGGTCCATTACTTGTTCATGCTATTTTGCAAACAATGCAACATTATACCAATAACAATTTTTATGTTCAGAAAAAAATCACTATAATAGTACTGTTAGTCAAATATAGCAATGTACTATGATATTGTTTCTTTTACAAGCATTGGAATTGATTTATGTTTGAAAAATGTGTAAGTTATTCAAATTCTTGTATTATGTCGGAATGAAAGCTTAACAATTATGTAAATAACAAGCAATCAGTAATAAGTTTGAAAGAAATAATCCACTAAATATTTCACAGAATATAATATAAGATATTGAGATACAACTGTTTTGCACTAGGATTTATTCAAAATATTATCAAAATGTTGGTGCGAAACGGTTGTAACTTAAGTTACAACCGTTTCGCAACAACAAAATGTGTCTGTTTGAGTTACAACCTTTGGACAAATATACTTTTTTGGTAGTTTAATTTTAGCTTTCAAGTTCAATATTTTTACAACATGTGTGTATATTGCTCCTACATTGAAAAACACCATAAAACCATTTTCGGTGAAATTATGAGTTACAACCCTTTCGCACCAAGGCATCGATATGTTTGACAGTTTTTTTATATTCTATACTAAGCATTTGTGTTTATCAATTATATTTTGAATCGCAATAAAATAGACTATCTTTTGAAATATAAAAATTATTTATCTCAGTTTGAAAATAAAAAAAGAATGAGCTAAATGTCAATTTAATGTAATATTCAGTACCTTAAACACGATATGTCGTTTACATAAAAACACCTCTTCATAATTTATAAAAGGTCTTTTCACAATTTTAAAATGCCAGATTCATTACTGAAAAAGTCTACTTTTTTAATCGATAAGATGTTTGTTTTATTTCAAAACTATTTTTGTAGACTTTAAGTTTAAACCGTATGCACATTTATTCTTTTTAACTTGAAACTTTTCTACCAATGGCTCTCAGGTGAGCGATTTAAATCATGATAACCCTTTCGATTATCTCAGTACAAATGTACTTAGACGAACACATATCCAAACGAACGGATAAAATTGTTCTCTTGTGTCATACAGTTCAAATTGAAATTGTGGACATGATTGCGTGTGTGTTGTGGTTTTACATCACGTACACAGTTAAACGGTTAGGGCTTTTTAAGGCAACTGTCCCTTTCCTTGAAAGATGCGGCTATGTCTAGTTTCTATGTAAGTTCTGGTTATTAAATTCCTACCCTTTCGTTTATCTCAGTACAAATATGTAGAATAGAGCACATAACCAAATAAATGGATATTTATCAATTAGGCACACACTTTGAATGCGTGTAACATAAGTACTGTAAATTGTTACTCTATTCACATTGATAAATTTAACATATTTTTTTACAAATAACAAAAGTTGAAATTTCAACTATATATAATCTGTTTTTTATTACTTTATATTCCTGAATTATTAACAGTTTACATTTCTCTTTTCAGAGCTCAAAGATGGTTTGATTGAATTCTACAAAACGAGACACAGTAAAGTTTTCCTGTCGCCCCTTTTTGAAGAAAATGACACGCCTTTGGCTTCTTTCTACATAAGACCTGAATTGAACCTAATAAACTCAGCACAGACGAGAAATGCCGAAAAAAGACAAGTCATATCGTTATCGGCGATGCTTAAAACCGGAAATCAAGCTAAGCAAGAAATACATGTTATTGCTGACGCTGGTCTCGGAAAAACTGCATTTTCAAACTATCTGGCGATCACATGGTGTCAAGCTCATTTTCCAGAGGAATACATGACTCAGTCTTTTGAAAAGGATGATATAGATTGTATGCAGGGATATGATTTCTTATTTCTGGTCTTACTGCGAGATTCGAACAATTTATGTTCTATAGATGATCTCATATTTGAAAAGATTGTTTCAGATTTGGGTCTAGAAGAAAAGCCTTCCCAGGATTTTCTCCTTAAAATTTTAAAAAATGAGAAATGCCTCGTTATACTTGATGGACTAGATGAATGGATTCACCCCGAAAATGAATGTCACAGATCGCCGCAATCATTCCCTCATAGGAATGACCGTAAAAAGTGTACAATACTGACAACTACGCGACCATGGAAATTAGGAGTTTTGAATCTAAATTCGTGTCAAATTGGGAAAAAGGTAGAACTTACAAAACTAAGTTACGACTCAGCAGTTACACTTACAGAAAGGATATTACAAAGATTGAAATCTCATCTAAATAAGGATGAATTACAAAGTGATGTCACAGAGTTTATTTCAGAAATTGAAAGTAGAGAAAACGATGAACTTACTTCTGTGCCTCTACTTTTGATATATACAATTTGTTTATGGTGTGACGATGTTCAAATAGGTACTTCAAAATGTGAACTCTATATAGACATAGTAGAGCTGCTCTTATCTAGAACGATTCAGAAGCATGGAGATCTTCAACAATTGTTTGACCTTTCTGATATCCCTGAATGCTTTGCTGAATATGAAAACTGTACTAAATACTACCCACTCCTTATGTGTTTGGGGAAATTAGCTTATTATACTTTATTCAATAAAACTAGAGAAAACACGTTGGTATTTGATGGATTAATTGCTAAAAAATATCTCTCAGCAGACGAGATGAAATTCACCCTTCACTCAGGAATGTTGTCAGAAAGTACATCTAAAACATTAACAAAAAAGTTTAGTAAAATGTCATTTTCCCACAAAACAGTTCAGGAATTCTTTGCTGCAATATTTATAAGTTCTGAAAATGAGGCTCAGGAAATTGTTGTAGAAAAATGTAGAAATATTCAAGACATTCTAGACATGTCAAAAATTTATGAATTTATAAGTAAAATGAACGCTGACCGGATATGTGAAATTTCAAATGATTTGATGTCTGTGATAAATGAAGACAAGGAAACACGTCACTATAGAACTAGGACATTTGGTCACAAGTACATGTACAACAAGCCATTTATTACTTTTACAGAAAATTTTTTAAATTTGTTTTTTACAAGAAATTTAACTGAAAGGGGAAAATTTTTCCAATTTAGGGGTTTTAAAAAGATTTTCTTTATTGACATGTACAACCGGGGGACCATGAGCTGTTAAAAAAACTTTGTTAAAAAAAAAAAAAAAAACCAAACATAAAATAAACTTTAAATTAAAAAAAACATCTACTGAAACCTTTTTCAGCATTTTTACGTAAAATTATAGTTTTTATTCTCTCTCAAAAATTTTTCGTCATTTTTAAAAGAAATTTCCCACTATCGAGGTGCCCCGGGGAAAAAAGGGAAAGGCTGAGATAACCCGGAAAATTTTTCCCCAGTTTGAAGGGGCTTTTACTTTTTTTGTGGGGTATTTGGGGAAAATGTGGGAAAGACAACCCTGAGTGAAAATTTGGGTGCAAAAGTCAAAACTTAAAAAATTTTATATATTAAAGGGTTTTCAGGGGTTATCTCAAAAAAAAAACTGGAAATATTTTTAAAAATTTTTTTTTATTCCGGGTCAAAAAAACAGCTGAAAGAAATAACTTTTGGGGGGGATTTTACCCCTGTAAAAAACATGGCCGCCTTTTGGATTTGAAAGTTGAACTGGGAGGGTTCCCTCAAAAAATTAAATCTATCAAAATTTAAATTCTTGGGGGAAGTTACCTGGGGGGAAATACAAAAAAAATAAAAACAACACCGTATTTTGGGTTTTGATTTTTGGGTTTTGGGGACAAACATAATTTAGAAAAAAAAGTTTCATTGTTATTTAAAAGTCAGTAAATATTTTTGAATTTTTAAAAACGGGGTGAATTTGGGGATTAAAATTTTAGAAAAAATCTGCAGGAAAGTTTAGCAAAAACTTTTACCCAAACGGGTTCAAGGGGAAAATTTTCGGGGCCGGAAAGGCCAAAAGTTAAAAGTAGAGATGAAAAGGGAACATTATACCTTTAAACCCAGAATTTTTTAGCGTTTTAGAAAAAAATTTTATTGGGAATCAAAAAAAACTTTTTAAATGTGAAAAAAGCCCCTTACGCCCTGGGTTTAAAGGGTTCAAACAAAGAAACAAAAGTTAAAAAATTTAAAAAAAGGGAAAAACCCCATTGTAAAATAAAATTTGAAGGAAAATTACTTCAAATCCCTTTTAAAATAAAAAAAATTTTAAAGGGAAGGATATTTTTAAAAAAAACAAAAGGGGGATTTTCTTCAAACGTTAAAAAAGGGTACTGTTTTAACTTTTTTTGGTTTCTTTAAATTTTACAAAACAATTTTTTGGTTTTAAAAGGGGGGTTTAATTTAAAGGGCCACAGTTGTTAAAAAAATATATAAATAGAAAAATATGAATAAATAAATAAAAAATAAATAAATAAATAAATAAAAACATTTAAGAGGAAAAAATAATTAAAAGGTTTTTTTTTAAAAACCGGGAAAATTTATATAGAAATTTAAATTTAAAGGTTTTGGGGAAAAATTTTTAAACAGGAAAGGGGAAATTTTTTTGGTTTTAATTTTTAAAATTTTTATTATTTTTCTTTTAAAAACAATATCTAAGTTTTTTTAAAATAGTAAATTGAATTAGATCTATATTTTTTTAAGATTTTATAAAATTTTAAAATATATTAAAAAAAAATTTTCCATTTAAAAACTTTTTTCCAAAAAAAATTTTTTCATTTTTAAAGTAGTTTTTTTATTTTAAAGGGAAAAAAAAAAAAAACCTTTTAAAAACCCAAAATCGGAGGGAAGAAATTTTTTTAAATTTAAAAAAGGCTTTTCCCGTTACAATTTTAAAATTTCCCTATGGGAAACTAAAAAACCGAAAATTTAAAAATTTTATCTAATCAAAATTTTGGCCAAATGTTGACGGGAAATTGCCGTTGTAAGCAAAAAGGGCTCGGGGGCCTTTAAATTTTTCCGGGGAAAACCCCAAGGGGGAATTTTTTATTTTAGGGGGGGACTTTTTTAAAAACACTTCCCCAAAGGGGGAAAATTACTATTTTTGCGTTGATTTTTTTTTTTTTCCATAAAAATTGTTTCAAGTGTTTGGCAACTTCCCCCAAAGGGTTTGAGAAAAATGTCAAATGCTTTTTTCAGCTTTTGGTTTTACACGTTACAAACCCCATAATATTTCCGTATTTTTTTAAAACCCCAAACATCCCAAGAAAAATTTAAGAATTTACAAAAAACCAAAACTGATATTTATCATTTTCCCTTTTTTGTTGTTTTTCCTGGGAAGTTTCTCTATCAGCAGGGGTATTTATTTTAAAAAACCAAACCAAAAACCCCCAGCATGATTTTTTACTTTTTTTAATCTTTTTCTTTTTCTGTTTCTGTTTCTTTGTTAATTAATTTTATTTAAAAAAAAACAAAATCTGCATTAAATTGAAAAAGGGGATTTGGGCAAAATTTTTAATAATGAAATTTAAATATTTTTTTTAAAAATTATCTTCTAAAGTTTTAAAACTGACAAGGAAAAAATTCGTCAATATATAATAAAAAAAAATTAAAAATTTCCCAGTTAAAGAAACTTAAAAAGATGCTGAAAATTTTTTAATTTTTGAAGTTTTTGCAAGAAATGTGAAAAAAATTGATATAAAGGTCTTTCTGAAATTTTTAAACCAACTTGGGATATTTGATTTTTAAACCAATTTTTTTATAATAAGATTAGACTATTCCACTTCAAAGACAATAATGACAATAATATCTAACATGCGTTAATGCCATTATGATTATTTTTTTACATTTGATTATACGAAAATTATAGTCATTTATCAAATAATGTCTTACATCTGGGATGGAAGATAAGTGTATCTTTCTATCCGAGCTTACGTGTATTTTTGATTAAAAACAGGAAATTTTAAATAAATATTGCATACATCTGCATTTTTTGTTATTTACCCTGAAGCCCTCTTATCAGCAGGAGACCAGGGTAACGAAAACAGTCGCTTATACACAGCAGGACTTGAGACTTTCCTACTAAAAGCATTCCCTTTATAACATAAATTTTAATATAAAATCTTAATATATAAAGTTATCAATTTATTTATTTCATTGACAAATTTAATTATTTATATCTTTAGAAAGTGTGCAAGCATTTTCATGGTTTCAAGTCATATGGATAGTCTTAGAACCAATTGAATTAATATCTTCTTTCAATCTTGAACATTGAGGAATTGCCTCTTTTATTATGCAGAATGGCAAGAAATCGGCGTTAATGGAAATACTAGAAAATTCCCTTTAGAGACAATTAATATCTTCTAATGCTTTTATGCCATTTATGATTTTTTTTGTATATTTGACTATGCAAAAAATATGTCATTTTCTATCCATGACCTTCTTAGCCTGAAGTGCCAACGCCTGATGAATCCCAGGCTTAATGTCTAAACATACATTTTGAAGAAAACCCAGCGGTATTTCAATGCCATACTTATAATCTGCAAAATATTGAATGTTCTTGTTATTCTACCTTGAGGCACCTCTTATCAGCAGGAAGAGTATGTGGTTATAATGAAAACATTCCATTCTCAGAAAGAACCCAATAACACAGCATGACTTGAGCATTTTCCTCTTCAATAAAGTATTCCCTTCATACATTAAATTTTTTAATAATGAAATCATGAATAAAAGTTAATCAAATTTTTATTCATTTTGATGGATAATATTTAATTATTTATATCTTTAAAACATATGCAAGCATTCACAGTTGATTTCTAAATTATCACAGTTATATTGACTGTTTAAAAATCAATGTATTATTATTCTCTTTCAATATTGAACATGAGGAATTTGCTCTAAGTAATATATTATAGAAATAATATTTTAGCTCAAAATATAAAACCCCTTCCCTTTGATTTGTTGAGCTTATGAAAAAAAAGTGTATGTTGTTACAAACTAAATTAATTGGGCCAGAATTATCACACTGATTTTCCCATTTATACACTAGAAAAATTGAAATGAATGTAGAACGGAACCCCACCAGTCAAAACCCCACACATCAAAATTTTATATTTTCAAATTGAAAAACATGGCCATTTAGAAAAGCTTTAAAAACACTTATTTGATTATCAATTACGGAGCATATTTTAATTTAATCTTAATAATTATATAAATTTGATTTTAAGGGGTATTATTTTACACTTACAGTTTAATACTGGTTAATGCATTTATGATTACAATAAATAAAAATAAAAAGTAATTTTAAGCTTTAACATAATATCACCTAAAATGTTAAAACTGCTGATTTTGAAATTTACTTATTCATATTCATGAATAGGCCATATATTCCCAAAGTTTTTTTTCTTACAGCAGCTTCTTCTTCTAGTTCAGCTCTAGTGCACTAGAAGTGAACAAGGGTGGAACGTTTAGTGTGAACTGTATTCTCAAACAAAACAAGTGTTGGGGGCCTAAATTTTTTTCACCATTTGAGGCAACAAAAGGGGTGGGGGTGAAAAAGGCATAGAAAGGCATATATATCTGGTAATGGGTTAATTAACTTAGTCGATTAAGACACATGAATGTATGAACACTTGTTAAATAACTACTACCTGAAATATTTTCAAAGTCCATTGACATATGGCTTTGAAACTTTGTAGACTTGGTTGCCATCATGCCACTAACCTGTAGACAGGAGGAGGTAACTCTTTCAAGCATTTTGACAGAATAATGCCCCTTTTTCGACTTAGAATTTACGTTAGAATTTGCTTATCCTTTCAAATATTTTAAAAGTCTGTTGACATATGGATTTAAAGCTTTGCCGACTTGGTTGCCATTATGCCCTGAACATGTAGACAGAAGGAGATAACTCTTCAAAGCATTTTGACAGAATTATGACCCTTTTTCTACTTAGAATTTACGTTAGAATTTGCTCACCCTCTGAAATATTTTAAAAGTCTGTTGATATATGGCTTTAAAACTTTGCAGACTTGTTCACCATCAAGCCCTTAACCTGTAGACAGGAGGAGATAACACTTTAAAGCATTTTGACA